GTCCGGCCGTAATGACATCGTCGAAGCTACGTAGATGAGGGTGATGTCGAGGAGCGGAACGCGACGCGTCTTGAGCCGAGGTTTCGGGGGAGACGTGCCATGGAGCCGGTCGTGCATCGACGCTGGAGCAATATTCCCCTTGTTGCCATCGTCGATGGGTGGCAGTCTCAGCTCTTCTCCAGTGTCCATTGTTGCCATATCTCCTCCATGGCGATGACGCTGGACGAGGCAGGACAAGGAGTCGCTTCAGCACGCTCTTCGACGAAACCAGTTCCATCATCCTTCGTCATGTCGATATCTTCCTGCACTTTGAGCATCGATGTCTCTTGATGCTCTGTCCATCGTCGCTGAACCGCCATGTCGACTGCGTCAGCGCGACAAAATTGCAACTGTGATGCTCGAAATATCTTTTTGGGGTGTTCTCGGCCTTGGATTGGCCATAGTCGTTTACATTTTGACCAATCCACTCGATGTATATCGCCCATTCCAAGATCGCGGTCCATCACACGCAGCGATGGACAAATGTATTGCACAGGAGCCGAGGTTGAAGTAGTTGGTATGCGTATAAGACGGGGTACTGCGCGTGCTCACTTTTTTTGTCTTTGCAGTGAACCTCGATGCATGTATTCGTTTGTCGGGTTGGAATCGTGGATGCTTTTTGGATTTATCTTGAGATAAAGCCAAGCGTCCGCTTGGTGCTTGGCGGACCGACAAATGCGTCAATCAATCTCTGATCCCATTACAAGTACCGGTACTGTAGACCGTATTTTGCCTCCGAGCCCAAACACGGTCATGCGAGCTTGAAGCTCTACGTAATGCAGCTCCACGAGAGACTTTTTCCACTGATATGCAGAAGTAGGAGTCAAGGCGCTGTCCAAGTGAAGGGTTTATCGAGGGACCCCGCCAGCGTCGCTGAAATGTTCCAATGCCCTTACAATCCGATCACTTTAGACTTGGTATATATATACTTCATCTCCCGCCGAATCCAACAATTATAATATCACTGGTTTTGTATGTCGCCTTCGCCACGTAAATTTAAATGCAAACGACGGGTCTCACCATTTCCGATTGTGGAGTGACTAAAACCAGCATGGGCAAGAAGAGTGCGAACCGCCGTCGCAGCAGCAGTGGCAGCGAGGAGACGGCCTTGGCGCTGACGCAGTTCCCGGACGAGCCCATCGCGCTTCTCCACTTTGACGAGAAGGAAGATCGGCTGCAGGTCAACGAGAAGGCCATGGAGATCCTGCAAAAGATCGAGGGCAAAATCTCGGTCGTCGCCATGGCTGGGCTCTACCGCACAGGCAAGTCGTCGATGCTCAACTGGCTGCTTGGCAACCAGAGCGGTTTTCGCGTCGGCCCAACTGTCGAGCGCTGCACGCGTGGCATCTGGCTCTGGGGCCGGCCGCAGAAGCACAACTTGCCGAACGGCGAGCCGTGCTACGTGCTCATGCTCGACACGGAAGGTCTCGGCGGCTTGGAAGCGTCGGCGCAGTACGATGTCCGTATCTTCTCGCTCGCAACCCTTCTCTGTTCGAAGCTCATCTACAACAGGTGCATGCCCCTCTACCTCATGATAATTCGCTCACGAGATCGCGAACTGTAGCCAAGGCAGCGTCGACGAGAAGGCTGTGAACGGGCTTTCATTCATTGCCAACATGACCAAGCACATTCGCATCCGCGCGGACGCATCTGGCGACGTATATCGCTTCGTTTTGCATGGCAACTAGGTTTACGTGGACGGCCGTAGGATGCCGACGCTGCGGGGGAGGAGTTCTCCAATTTTTTCCCGTCTTTTACCTGGGTCGTGCGCGACTTTACGCTCGAGCTCGTGGACGAAGACGGCGACCCGATCACGCCCAACGAGTACCTGGAGCGCGCGCTGGCGCCGCAGCCGGGCTTGACGCAGGCCGTCATGGAGCGCAACCGCGTGCGCCACATGATGACGTCGTTCTTCAAGGACCGCGAGTGCCATACAATGGTGCGCCCGGTCTACGATGAGAGCCAGCTGCAGCAGGTCGACAAGATCCCGATCACGGACCTGCGCCCCGAGTTCCAGGAACAGCTCGCCAAGGTGAAGGCCTCGATCTTCAACAACCTATCTCCCAAGATGCTCAACAACAAGCCGCTCAACGGCTCCATGTTTGCGGGGCTTCTCGTCGCGTACGTGGATGCGATCAACAACGGGAGCGTGCCCACGATCTCGTCTGCTTGGGATGGCGTTACGGCTACCGAGTGCAAGAAGGCCATGAAGGCCGCGACTGAGGCCTTCCGCGTGAGCTTGAGCCTCCTCGAAATGCCGCTGGACCCAGACGATCTCTCCAAGGCGCTCAAAGACGCCGAGGCAAGCGCTGTCTCGCAGTACCGTCGCCAAGCGATGGGCGACGCGACGGCCAAGTTTGAGGCTGAGCTGATGGAAAAAATCGAGGAGGAGAAGGCCAACGTGCGCAAGCAGAACCGCGCGGTCTCCAAGGACACGTGCGACCGGCTGCTTCAGACGCTCTTCTCGGAGCTCATCCAGCCGCGCTTCTCGGACGAAAAAAACTCGTACGAGGACATGCAAGACTTTGCGCGTGAGTGGGTCAAGTTCCGTGAGCGCTACCTCGAGCAGGCCAAGGGCGGCGCCAAGCTCGACTGCCTCCTTGCATTCTCCGAGACGAAGCATGCAGACGCGATGCGCCTCCTCCTTTCGCGCCAGGAAGACAAGTTTGAGAAGAAGATCCGGTCCCTCGAGGCGGAAGCTGCGGCCGTCAAGGAAACGCTTGGTGCCATCGGCGGTCGCGAGCAAGTGTACAAACAGCAGATCGAAGCGCTGCAGCACGAGACGTCCGAGGTCATGTCGGAGCGCGCCAAGTACACCGCTGAGGTCGAATCCCAGCAGCAGACGATCACGCAGCTCAAGGCCAAGCTTGCGCAAGAAGCCAAGGGGAAGCACGAAATTGACGTCGAGAAGGAGCAGATCGCGCTGCAGCTCGACACGATCCGCGGCCACAAGGACGAGAAGGAGCTGGAGCTTGAAAAGATCCGCAAGGAGTACGAGCGCCTCATGAAAGAGAAGGAGCGCACCGACTTGGAGCTGAGCATGGCGGCTGGCGAGGTGGAGCAGCTCAAGCACGGCCAAAAGTGCGGCTGTGCGATCCAGTAAGAAGTAGAGAGATCGCCAATCTACTAGTAATTGGACTCCATACATGTGCTTCGCTGAAAGCAACTTCAACCCCTCCTTGGCACACTCCAGCAAACGAGGTGGCGCCACTGGACGCAGACGGTGGGCGACGGTGCTTCATTTTGCACATACGTGGCTGGACCGACTTGAGTAATTTGTTTCGCACCTGTGTACCACAGAGGAGGCTGCGACAGCGAGCTTTAGATTCTGACAAGATTCGCCTATTTACAGGATCCAGGCGTCGAAGAATGGTCATGTGGTGGCATCAAGGCATGCGTCGCAGTGGCAATCGATGGCCCGGTATGAACTAGCGCTGTCTACAAAGTCGAATGGCGTTTGGCGACATGGCCAGAATCAGTGCCATGTAGGAGACGCGACAAGCAGCCAGTGGATTTGAGGCCTTACTCGCGGTCTTTTCAAGGTTTCTCTATATACTGGGCTTCATTTCGACTTACGACGACGCCGACGGAGGCACGCGCGAGACAAGTGGCGAGACGTACGGCTTGAGCTTGAAGCCCGTGAGGTCCGGCACTTCGAGCTCGAGCATCTTGGTGAGGTCCATGCGGTAGCCACCGAGCTTAGCGTGGACGCCTTCGTTGCGGCAGCCCTTACCCTTGTAGAAACGACGGTTGGCACGCTTGGACGTGAGCGGGCGGAGGCCGTGGCTCTTGCCGAACTTGCTAGCGCGCGTCAGGAGACCGTCGAGGAAGGCCATCTTCGAAAAGGCGAATTGAGAGCCCACGTCGCCCAACCAAACCATCCCGTAAAAGTTCGCCGTTCCAAACAAGTACGACACTCGAGAGCTGGCTAGGTGCGGTCCGAGTAAGTGCGCTAGCGGCTGACAGGCAAAACCATGAGTGGGCTGACCCCGAGATCTCAGAAAGAGCGGAGCTGAATACCCGACTTCCCGCCCGGCGAAGAAGAGTGCCATGCTCGCAGCGTCGTACGTAGTTTTCTACGCAATCGTGGTCATCTATGGCCTTCTTTGCGCCTTCCTTGGCTACGCTGCGATCCACATCGTGGCTATCGGCGTCTTTGTCTTTGGCTACCTCGCGCTCGCGACGTTCGGCAACCTCAACTTTATCGCGACGATGCTGCTTCTCCTCTTTGTGGTCCTCGGTCTCGCCATGGTCCATCGCTATGTCGACATGCGTCATACAAGCATCCTCCTCATCCTCGGCAAAGCAATGCTCAACATGGCAACGATCGTTCTCGTCGGGACGTACCTCTTGGCGTGTGTCGTAAACCGCTTCGTCGCTTACGTGCTTTTCGCGGTCTACATTGGCATTGACGTATATGTCGGCATCACATACTCGGAGCGCATCCGCATCATTGTCGTCACGTGCTGCCTTGGCGCCTCCATCGTCATCGGAGCACTTGCGGCGCTGTGGCTCGACGACCAGCAGACCATCAGCGAGACACCGTGGCTGAAGCTTCCCATGGGCATTTGTATTGCACTGGTCGGTGGTTTTATCCAACTCAAGACAACGGCTGAGCCGCCTCTACGTATGTCGCGGATCTCGCTTGCCAACACACACGTCTCTGAAATTCCAACGCCCACAGCAGCATCGTCGCAATGGGTCAGCGCGCCGTATTGTGAGCTTGCAGCGACTGCGGTGCCTCCAGCTAGCAGCGAAATGGACACGGCTGCTGGGGCCGAAGCCTGTTCGACGGCACATGTCTAGCTAGCTAGCCCACATTTGTCCGTTGCTCGCATAAAATACCCTTGTCTCTTCAGCTATACGCACCTAAAGATGTGGTGCTTTTCATGTACTAGGTGCGTATTTATTGCTGTGTGGGTGCAAATTTCGAGCTGACGAAGGAAGATGAGCGCTGTGAGCATGGTAGAGACCGTCGTCGAGGATGACTAGACGCTCATGCACCAGATAGGATACGCTGTTGGCGACGCCCAACCAGATCGGCGCTGCCATCGTAACCCTCGATGGCAGCATCGTAAGCGCGGCTGGCGACTTGGCCGGCGACGAAGGGACCGACGCGTGCAACGTCGTGCGCCACATGCTCCTCGACGTGGGCAACCTTTCGATCTTGAAGGCTACGGACCCCCAGCGCGAGCTGCTTGAGAGCGTCACGATTGCCTTCCCAAGCTACGAGTACGCAGTCTCTCTCGACGAAAGCCACTTGTACATTGTCAAGTCGACGCCCGACGGCATGAACTAAGTATCGTATAATGCATCTCCTTATTCGAGGGCGAGCTTCTCCTTGAGGAGTTTCTTGTATTCTTCGTCGCGCGTCTGCAACTGGTCCTTGCGCTGCTTCATGCGGAATTCAATCTTCTCTTGCTTGCGCTTCTTCTCTGCGTTCTGGGCCGCAAGCATGTCCATCTTTCGGTGCGAGTTGGTCTTTTCGAGGTCCAGAAGCGCCTTTAGGCGCTTCTCCTCCTCCATGATCACGCGCTTCTCACGTCGCAAGGCGTCCAAGTCGGATGTCTCTTGCAGCGCCTACGTATCATTGCCCACTACCGTTCTCCATCTCCTTGGGCAGCATCATACCTTTAGAATGATGTCGTTTTTGACCTGCTTGGTCTTCTTCTCAAGCGCACGAACTCGGCGCGCTTCCTCAGCCAACCGCACGCGGTTTTCCTACCTATCGTAAGATCTTCACAACAATTGTCGTCTACCTCGTCGAGCCGCTCGTTGTCCGCGACCAGGTTGACTTTGAACGGTGACTTTGCGAGCTTCGACTGCCACTTTTGGATATTCACCTGTCGCCGCTTCTCCTTCTGAAGCCGTCGAAGCTTTTCTTCCTCTAGCATCGAGCTCTTGACCTGCGACCGCTCGGCAAACTTTTTCGAGAAAATTTCCGCCGACTCGGCCCGCGACAGCTTCGCAACCGAATCGTACGAGCTCAGGTTCAGCGGCGAAAAGGATCTATGGCACCCCATGATAGACCACTGAAATGAGTCAGTAGCTTGCCTTTGGATGTCGTCAATCTCGAGGTCCGAGCCCACGTCGTTGTCGCCACCCATGCCACCATCTTCGTCAGCTTCGTTGTCTGCCACCATGTGCATCTGGTTGTCTATGGAGAGGAAACAGCGTCACCGGCGCCGCAGAAGAGACGGGTGCGGTACCGTAGTCGTCCTTGTCCATGGCTAAAACCCTGTTTAGCACTCGACGCCATCGAGGTAACTGCGCCGGTTTCACCGGATACAGTCAACCATCCGTACACGAAACCTCCGTGCTACAGTCCTGGCTGTGGCGAGCCAGCTCATCACACTCCAGCACATCGAGAGGGCGCGATTGAGATAGCTGTATGAAAGGACCGCGGATGTAGTCGTGTAATCAGCGACCCAAACGACGTTAATAAATTCAGTGTCAACCGACACCTCCACGGTGCATCGCCGCATCAGGTTGCAAAGTTAATTGGGGTCAATTGGGGTGGTTTATGTCTCGGTTTAATCACGTAAGCTTTGAGATGCGCCGTATGCAGTTGTTGCCAGTGTCGGCTACATACAAATTGAAGGCACCGTTGCCGAGCACTTGCCAGCTGAGCGTTGCATTGATGACGAGGCCGAGTGGTGCGTTGAGCAAGCTATTCACCAAGGTGCCGTTCGAGTCGCGAAGGCCTGAGACGCCGGGGGTTCCTGCGATTGTCGATGTGGTAGACGAGGCGCTGTCCACTTTGCGCACGACGTGGTTCCCCGTGTCGCTGACGTAGACGTGGCCATACACGTCGACCGTGACGCCGCCTGGCGAGTTCCAGCGAGACGATAAGCGTGGGCCGTCAACGTAGCCCCCGCTGCCGCAGCTGCCAGCATACGTTTCGAGGGCATAGTTTGCGAGGGCGACGCGTCGAATGCAGTGAGCACCCGTGTCGGCAATGTATAAATAAGAGCCCGTGCTATCGGCGGCGAGGTTGGTAGCGGTCGTAGAGAGTCCCGCGACGACGGTCATTACCGTCGTCTTGTTGATGCTTTTGATGTAGCCGCTGTCGAGGGCAAATAGAACTCCGGCGCACACGGCCAAGCCACGCGGCTGCAGAAGCCCGCTGGTTGCGTTGGTCAGCACGACATACGTGGATGAAGTCGTGGCATTCCAAGGCCGCTGTACAATCTGAGGCTGCATCATGTCGGACACGAAGAGGTTACCGCTGGCGTCCGATGTGACGCCGCTGAAGTGCGACACGCTACTTGCAAGAAGTGAGCTTTGGGAGGAGAAGACGGTCGTTCGGTTGAGGGCAACCCAAGGGGATGGCTGAAGACTGCCGAGGGCGACGCCAGTGATGTTGGCTTGAGCGTACAAACTGACAAACTCGGTCGAGATGGCGTAAGTTGGTGTAGACGCTGTGGGTGTTGGGTTCGCTGGCGCTGGCGTGAAGTCCCATCCTTTTGTGCCGCTGCCCCCATAGCCCGGCGCTGTTGTTGGTGATGGCGGTGCTGGTGTCGGGGACGACGACGACTTGTTCATGAGATTGCTTACGACAGACGGGACAACCGTAATGACGACAAACGCGCCAAGAAGAGGTACGAACACGATGGGCGGGATCTTCGTCTTCTTCTTATCCTCACCTTCGACTGCGGGGACGGACGGCACCTCCTCCGCGCCAAGCACGGGAATGTCGCCCCCCTCTGGCGGCGTCTCTGTTGCAACGGGCACATGGGACATCGAGACACACGAAGCGTTCTTCGCCAAGTCTTCTTCCCCGCAAGGCAACGATGGAGAGCCGGCCATGCAAAACTGGCAGCGGCAATGGTGCGAAGGTTTGAAAAGCGAAATATAACCAATCAACGACGGGTATAATCTATTTTAGATATTGGCAGGAATGCATGCTTGAAGGCCTTGGATCATTGGATAATTCAACGCGCAAGAAGTGGAGTAGGTGTTGTTGGAGATTTGATGTCAAAAGGAAAAATGAAGACGAACTATCGTCGTTCTCGGTGTACTTGGCGCAAGCGCTGGTTGTTATAGTCGACAACAAATATGTCGAGGGCATTCGGGAAGGGTGCATAGACGACGAGCCCCACCGGCGAGTGGAGCCTGGCGGTATACTGAATTCCGTCGCGGAATCCGTACACGCCGCCCTGACCGACAATGGTCGTCACGAGACTCGACGTGATCTTCCGAAGCGCGTGGTTGCCCGTGTCGCTCACGTAGATGTTACCGTCGGCGTCAAGCGCGAGGCCTTGCGGCGAGTTGAAGAGCGTTGATGATGGCGTACCGTCAATGTACCCCCATGTATCGCAAGTGCCGGCAACGGTGGTGAGCGTCGACGCTGTGCTGTCCAATGCAACCGAGCGGATGCAGTGGTTGCCCGTGTCGGCGATGTAGAGTGTCGATCCGAGGCTGTCGATGCCGAGCGCTGTCGGCAGTTTAAGGGTACCATCAAAGGCCAGCGACGACGCTACACCATCCTCCAGGATTGTAATGCTGTTGTTGAGCGTATTCGCAATGTAGGTCTTGCCGCCACAGGGGCATCCAACGCACGGGCAGGCGACAGCGCCCCGTGGTCCCGAGACGTTTACGTTGTGCAGCGTAGAGTATACGCTTGCGTCCGTCGCGGGCACTGGCGTCAAACTGTTGAGACGCGACACAACACGATCCGACGCGGGGTCCGCCAGCAGAACGGTGCCATTGACGTCCACAGCCAGCGCGAACGGCAGTCCGAGACCAGTATCGTCGGCGAGTGAGATGTTCGTAGAAGCATTGGCCGCAAAGAGGCCGAAGTCGGTGCCCACAAGAATAAAGGGGCTCGGTACGCGCAAAAGACCGGTGCTGAGAACCCAGTTGACTGGCGATGCGTCAAAGACCGTCGACACGGTGTACGTGCCGCCGTCCGTCACCATGGACGCCGATACTGGAAGTGGGGCGTCTACGAGCAGCTGCGGAGATGCGCTCATGGCGAGCCCAATTGCTGCCGTGAGCCATCGTAGCGCGTTTCGAGAAGTCATCGACTACGAGCAACAAGGTACAATGCGTTGTATGAATCGTTGCGTGAAGGGTGCAATTGTTCGTACGCTGGCCCAACCGAAGGGTGCAGTTGAAACGCTGGGATTCCGCTAAAGCGGTAGCGGCAATACGCTCTCACGGCTGGTTCTATGATGTTGACGCATGATATTCACGAGAGCAATCGTAGTTTCTTATTTGCGTAATCGATGATGTATATGCCCCACGGGGCCGATGACTGATCTGAATTCACTGTGGCGAGAGCCAGCGGTGTGTTGACCAGGGCCGAGTTTGCTGTACCATCTGCAAAACCGTTCGCACCACCAGCACCGACAATCGTCGTCGCGGACCCCAAAGAGGTGATTTTTCGGATCGCGTGGTTGCCCGTGTCGCTGACGTACAAGGTGTTGTTGCCATCGACTGCGAGACCTTGAGGCGTGTTGAAGAGGCTGACGTATCTATCGCCGTCAACATACCCCGACGTTCCACACGTGCCGGCAATCGTTTCCAGGATGGTTGGTGCTGTCGCCGTGAGGGATACGCGGCGAAAACAATGGTTGCCCGTGTCAGCAATGTAGAGATACGCACACTGTTGGTCGACGGCCAGAGCTGTGGGACGGTTGAGGGTACCCGTGAACGATAGCACCGAGGTCACGTTCGATCCCAGCAAGATGCGAACGAGGCTGTTGTCCAGAGTGTTTGCGACAAACGCCGTCGCGTAAGCCGAGCACGAAGTGCATTGACAGAAGGCGACGCCCCGCGGCCCAGAGACACCAGCGGCGACTGTCTTGTACTGATTCGTGTTGGACGTTGAAACGGGCATGTAATACGACTGCCGGGCCGTGACTTTGCTCACCAATGGGTCTGCGTACACGACGTTGCCGTTGGCGTCAGCCGCAAGCGCGAGAGGGTAGCCTGGCGAGCCGCTCGTCAGCCATACGTTGGCGCCCGGATTGCCAGTTGCCCACGAAAGAAGGCCGGTTTCGAAGCTCATAATGATCTGCGTCACTGCCGACGTGACGCCAAGGAGGTACGGGTTACCATTGAGCGACGACGCATTCCAGACTGTGCTCAACGAGTACGACGCGCTGTCTCTAACGAATGACACGGACGACGACGGCGTAAATGGGAAGTAAGCATAACTTGATGCTGTTGTCGATAGCGGGGCTGGAGTTGTCGCTGGTGATGCTGACGACGGCGTCCATGAAGAGGCTGTCGTTGGTGTCGGCGATGAGGTTGACGTCGATGGTGACCACAGAGTCGGGGTTGGAGTCGGTAATAGATTGAAATCTATCCACGGCGTTGGCGTTGGCGTCCAA